CTTAAACTAATCTGGCAAAGGATGGTGTGGTGTTTCTTTGGGTGTTCTAGAGGGAAGGGGTTCTGAGGCAGAAGCCTGCCATTCTTCCAAAGTTGTGTAGCTTTTGAATAAATGACCTTTCCTTTTTTATCAAACATTTGCCTTTGGAGTTTGCCCATGGGTATTGGGCAATAGAACCCCATGCTGATCCCCATGCAATAAAAAATCTGGGTGTTTGACCCCCTGGCAATTTAACTACTGTCAGAAGTCCTACTGATAAGATAAACAGTCTGAGACAGGTAAGCCAGGGCAAGTGAAATAGAGAAACTGAGACATATTTAAATGGCCAAGCTGTTTAACAGCCATTTAGTAAATCACAAAATCATATCTTCCCTAACCAAGAATGTAACAGGGTGCAGCCAAAAGGGGGGCCCCAAATAGGGATTTGTAATGGGGTCCAGAACTCAAGGTGTCCAGGAAATATTAGAAATATATATATAGGATGTCCTTACCCCCACAAGTCTGAGTTGAGGGATGGGACACATAGAGCAGGGCCACTGAGAGTTGTTTCGTACAGCAACAGCTTTGCAGCTAACCTCTGGCATGGTCATTTAACATATCTATAACCTTTAACTGGTTTCATGAATATGTTAAATTGCTGTGGCCATGCTTTAAGCCAGGGGGATGGAAGTGACTTCCACCCAGATGGAACTGGGAAGCAACTCCTCCTGGTTACAGCTCCCACATGAGAGCTTGGAGATGACTGGCTTCATGCCATGGGGCCACATCTGCCCAGACTTACTATGGCAGCCCAGGAAAGCTGGAATACAGGAATACTGGCAGGTGTAACTGATTTTGGAAGGAGTCGGAAATGGGGCTGCAGAGGAAGCCTGGCACTGGGATTTAAATCCAGGCGTGGCAGCAGCCAACCCAGGGGAAAACTACGCGGCTTTGGCGTGCTCCCTTTTGCCACTTGGCTTAGGAAGCAGGAGACACTTTGTCTGGAAGAAAAGGGGTAAAAGGACTCTTGCTGATGGGCCATGAGAAGGTGCCACATGGTTTTGGATTAACTGGAGATTGTGGCAGCAACACAGATGATGGTGCCAGGAGCCCAAATCACAGACTTCTACTTCTTTTCCTGAGATACTGTATCCCAGACTAGGGCAGAGGGAGAAGGAAGAACTGTGTGTGTCTGTGGGTATTCTAAAAGACTTTAGTATTTTAATGAAGGCATTAAGTCATTACTCAAAGTCTGTATAGCTTTTAAATAAATAATTTCTTTCTTTTTCACCAATCTCTGGCATTGAGAGACGTCTTTCCCCTAGAGGCGGGCAAGGCAAACTTAGTAGGTGGGGGTACTCCCAGAAAAAAGGAGGTTCCTTTCGGTAATAGTATATCATACACCGCCACCTTGGGTCTGTTCTGTAACAAGGACGCTTAAGAATAAATGGTTTACATTTTTTCTCTCCAACCAGAGAGTAAATAGTTTAAATCTCCCTACTCAGGAAGATAGATAACAGAAATACAATTAGTGCCATTTGTGCCAACCACACTCAAGGAATGATGAATAAATCTTATTTTGGTTCATCGGCATAAAGCTGATGAATATTCTATTGTGATCATCCTGTATGACCTCCCCTATAATTTCTACCTTTAGAAAACAGATAAGAACCCTCAAGACAAAGACCCAGTGTGGCCTCTCTAGAGCATGCCCATGCCTTTCTTCTGTTTCAGGCATGCATCTTTACTTTTCTCTACTAAACTCTAAGAGTCCCCAGCAGACTTGCAATCAGGGAGGGGAACAACAGGCAATGGCAGTTCATCCCAGGCTAACCCCTGAAACTCTCCAAGGCTCCCTTTTCTCTGAAGTTTCAGAAAACTCACAGCAGCCCCACCATGGCTCACTTCTTTTCTACTAAGTTCCTAGAGAGCCCAAAGCAGAGCACTGCCTAAAGTGTCTCCTGCTGCTTCTACCCTAAGCCCTTCCTTTGTTTCACTGTACTCAGCTTTAATAAACATATGCTCAAAATCCTGGACTCATGTTGTGAAATCTGTCCTACATGAAGCAAAGAACCCACACACTACCAGCCAGCCCAAGGATGACCTCCCTTATGAGTGACAAGGCAATTAACACGTATTTTGTGTAGGTATTATATAATTCATTCTTACAATAAAGTGTTAAGAAACAAAGTTCAACCTAATACATTTGGAGATTTAATTAGCTTTGTTCAGTGTTTTATGAACCTGGCAGCATCACATCTAGCAACTAGAAGTGCTCTCTGAGGGGTTGTACAAATGCATTTTTTATAGGAACTCAGGTGGGGCAAAGGGCCCTATTAACAAAAAAGAAAAAAATGGATTGTTATTTTTTGCAGGGGGACATCTTTTGCTTGGGCAAAGAGAATGAGAAGGGTTTTTATCATGCAGATTGCCTGTTCTTTCTAGGAGGGTGGGGATAGAGAGGGCCCAAGGGACAGATTACTTTAGTAATTCTTGACCAGAAAATTACAGACTGGTTGATTAAGATCATGTTTCTGGGAGAGGTTGAAACTACAATTAGAACATGGGATTTTAGCACAAACGATGCCATTTTGGGTCTGTGTTTTTTTCTTCAACAAAAGGAAGCTAGAAAACAAATGTTATTAAGAAAATCATAAAGAAGAGAAAATAAATTTATAATATTTTAAAAAATATGTATTTATTTTTAGAGAGGGGGAAAGGAGAAAGAGAGGGAGAGAAACAGCAACATGTGGCTGCCTCTTGTGCGCCCCCTACTGGGGACTGGGCCTGCAATCCAGGCATGTGCCCTGACAGGGAATGGAACCAACGACCCTTTGCTTCAGGTGCTCCATCACTGAGCCACACCAGTCAGGCAGATTTACAATACTTATTTAAAAAAAAAAATCCATGTATAAGTGGACCTGTGCAATTTGAACCTGTGTTGTTCAGGGATCAACTATAGTCAGATTTAGGTTTTGGAAGGAAGTTCTAGTGACAGAAGAGACTAGATTGAGGTCAGATTGGAAGAGGGAAGAAAATTCAGGAAGAAGCCGATTGAGAGGCCATTACAATGGTCCAAAGGATGGCCTTGGACAGAATCAAGGACAGAATGGTTGTCACCACCTTGGTAGTGCAAGCACAGGATAAGTGGCTACTTAACTGTGGGAGAGGAGAAAGGGAAAAGGAGAACTGACTGAATTTGTTATTGGTGTAGGTTCATGTATAGTGCGTCATTCAAAAGCAGATATCTAGTGGGAGTGACAGTTGGAGCTAATGGGGGAGATTAGATTGCCCAGGGAGTTTGAAATGCTCTTCTGTTTGGTGTTTTTGTCTCCTTTTGTTTTTCTCCATTCTGACTAAATTGTTTTTAACAAATGAGGTTTCCAAAGACAATGAGGAAAGGTGAAGATTAGGAAAGAATAGTTTTATTATCTCTTCATTATGGATTAAATAGAAAATGTTTTCTATTTTAAATAAATCACTCAAACTTTGGAATACTACCCACTGAGAAGTTGGGGATTACTCAAATTACGTTTTGGTATAGTGGTAGATAAATGTGTTTATGATGAAAATGGTTATTAGTGCTGACTGGGGAAAATACAATATTTAAAATGGGAATAAAAAAATCACCCACTTGAGTCCATCAGGAAGATTATAGCGTCTATTAAAGTCTGTGTATACAATTTACACAATAAACCATTTGTTATTGAGCCAACAGAATGACAGCTTTTTCACTACTGGGTAAGAAATGTGGATGTAAAAGGGGCCATATATTAAATCTGACAAACTCAGGGGAGGCTTGCATGGTGGTCTTATAAACTCAGAGACCTAAAGTAACCACATGGGATTGTCTGACATTAAAACTTCTTAACAAAACTGAGTCATGGCAGGTAGTTGTGTCCAGGGCCATTCTTTCAGTTTGTAATTTTCCTTTGTCTTGTTTTTCTCCTTTCTTTTCTTTAAGTGGTCTATCATTTGCTATTTCTCTATTTGTTAGAATCTCATTAGGAGTACATGGGCATGGAAAGGAAGAAGTGTAGGAACTCCAATCTGTAACTTTTGGGAAAATCTTTCAATGAGAACACCTGGACTAATTTCCCTTAAAGTTGTTTTGTTTTGAAAAGTGAATCTTACACAAAGTAATTGTCTTTGAACAGTAGCATCTCCAGCCAGTCTTAGAAATGCATTTCAGGGGCCACAGGCTAAGAAACTTCAGAGAATCAACCCTTGTATTTAAAGCACCAGGATTTGAAAAGCCAAGCATGATTATGTAAGTCAATTTTTTAAGTAATGCAACCTATACAAGAATTTGTTTTTCCATTAAAACGAATACCGAGGAGAGGGCTTTTTAAATTGTACAATGAATGCAGGTGCAACGCAAATTCAAAACAAGTTTGAAGGCTGGTTTACGTGAACCTGTGTTAGCTGCTTGGTGATCAACATGGTTTCTCATTCTACAGAAGCCCATGAGGTCTCTAGGTCTAGAATTAGATCTGGTTCTTTTGTCAGCTTTAAATAATAAAATGATGCTAAAAATGTATGTCCTCTGGAACAGCTGGTGTCACGTCAGTTCCTAGGCATTTCTCTACCTCCCTTGGGTTACTGGTAGGAAACATGTGGAGAGGAAGTGGATAAAAAGGTTCCAATTTTCAGCACTAGAGAGGTAGAAAAATTTTCCACCCGTTGGTGAGTCCTTGCCTTCTTAGGACAGAATGGTTTGAAACAGGATTGCTTTTATTTCTTTTTAAAAACCTTTTTTCTTAAGGGCTTGAATTCTGCTACACTGTTCAAAATGCCAAGCTGGTTTTTGCTTTATACCACCAGGAGTGATGAACCCCTCCCCTTCAGCCCTGAGGCTATTTAAAACAAAAATTACAATTAGATATGGAAATTCTAGGGTGTTTGGGGTGGGAGCCAGGGTTGCAAGGGTAACGGACTACAACTCCCACAGGCCCTAGCGGGGCTGTTAGCCTACCTCCAGTTCCCCAACCCCCAGCGTTGTGCTACACGCCCTGCGCTGAGAGGAGGGGTGGGGACAGGATAACGCACTTGGAGGCGGAGAAGGAGGAGGAAGAAAAAAGAGATCACTGACTTCCACCTGGGCCTAGAGCGGCTCTTAAAGTAGTGGGGAGAGGAGGGCGGTTGGCGACCACCTTCAATACAGGCCGCCGGCGGTATCATGGCGACCCGGAACCCCCCTCCCCAAGGTGAGCGGCTAGGGCGCGAAGTAGTATCTGATACGCGACTCACAATTTTCGACCTTGTTCTGGGGCGCCTCTTCCTTCCTCTGTCTCAGGGCTCCTGGGGTTCCCCCTCATTTTTTCTTGAGGCAGCAGCTCTGAACACTCGTCCAAACTGGACTCTCCCTCCCCTCTTGGAACGCAGGCGAAGAGCGACCCCCACTCCCAAAACATCCCACCTGCGGCCTTTCATTTCCATCTTCAAACATGTTTTTCAGTCTTGACTCGGAAGTAATTTCTTCTTGCCAGGCCCCTAAACAGTTCTGTCAGAGGAGGACTCCCTCTTTCTCCCGCTGAAGAAAGTGAACCTTGCCCTGGCCCTAACCCTACTGAGATTTGGGGGTGACCCTTCATGGTGTGAAACTGATCTAACCCTACTGAGATTTGAGGAGGTGACTCCTCACTGTTGTGTAACTTTGACCTGACCCTTTGAGATTTGGGGGTTGGGGACATCCCTACTGCTGTGTATGTATCTCTGACCTGATCTTACTGAGATTTCGGGGCCGGGGTGGGTGCGCAGTGGGCGACCCCTCACTGCTGTGCAACTTTGACTGGTTCTGCCTTGGGCCCCCAGGCTATTTCTGGGCCTTTGGAAAGGAGACGCTAGGCTTTTTACTCTTGAGGCCCCAAGTCTTTGGGATTTTGAGGTAACAGACTGTTAGTTTCCATCTCTGTGGTTTTACTGTAGAACCAAAATAACCGTGAGTTGTAACATAAAAATTGTATAGGGCATTCTAATTTTTGGTTGACTCTAAATTTATTTTTTCTATTTTGTATTTTGAAGAATATGAAAATGTAAGTTTATTTTTTCTATTTTGTATTTTGAAGAATATGAAAGTGATGATGACTCTTACGAAGTGTTGGATTTAACTGAGTATGCAAGAAGACACCACTGGTGGAATCGTGTTTTTGGCCACAGTTCTGGACCTATGGTAGAAAAATACTCAGTAGCCACCCAGATTGTAATGGGTGGAGTGACTGGCTGGTGAGAACATCTTTTTCATTACATTTTATTGGGAGCCTGACTGCTGCCCTTTTCTGTGTGCTACACTTGCAGTGCTCACTCAGTGGCTTTATGTTGTTAATCCCGATGATTAGTGTAATTATTACTGTTGGGTTTTGATATTCCCCAGTGTCTGTCCATCACTGTTCTACTGTTCCCTCCTCATCCTTCCTTTGATTCTTTATATATTTTCCCCCTTCTCAAATTCAGCAGATATAGTGGATCTGATTTGGTGATAGTAAAGAGGAAGAAATAGATGAGTTAATTACACATAAATAATTTTTACTTGTTGAGTGCTAATAACTGGAGAAAGCGGTAAGAACTCCCACAGTAGAACTGGTCTCCAGGATGGTGACTTGTGCAGAACAGTGTAAAATTCTCAGTAAAAATTATTGATTATGATACAGATGATTCTGTTGATTTTTGTGGACTAGTTTGGATTATAATTCTTTGAAGAGTTGTGGAACATTCTTTGTTGGAATTAAAGGGCTGATTGTTTATTCTAAAAATATTGTGGAATACATTAAACAGTTAATAAGCATTAAGCTTAACCAGTTAACATTTCACACCACATGATTACATAGTTGCTACTATAGATCTAATCCTGTTACTAGAATAAAAGATTAGCCAAATAACAAGAGTCAGACACAAATATGACCCTTTATTTTGAAAATGTTCATGACCATAGAGAATTGTTGAAGTTAGCATGGGTGCTTAACTTGTGAACAATCAGTTTTTTATAGATTCTAAGTTAAATTAATCTTACATTAATTTAAATATTTACATATTTAAACTTGGTAAGTATAAAATTATTTTTTAAATTTGTATTTACACGCACCTTGGAACAATGGTGTACTCCTCTATGCCTTTTTGTAAATGTTATTTTATGATAGCCTGGATGATGTGGCTCTGTGGATTGAGCACTGGCCTTCAAACCTGGGATATTGTTGCTGGGTAGATTCCCAATCAGGGCACGTCCCGGTCAGGGGCGTGCGAGGGAATCGATCCATGTTTCTCTTGCACATTGATGCTTCTCTCTCTTTGTTTCTTCCTCCCTTCTCCTCTCTTTAAAAATAAATAAATAAAATCTTTTTTAGAAATATCATTTTATGGTAGTCACATTCATTGTGTAGGTTCTGTGATGGTTAGGTGCAGTATTTATTCATGATATGTATTTATTCATACTGCTTATGAAAAAAGCCTGTAATTAGAAGAGATGCCTTGTCAGGGGCCTAGTCATTTAGATTATTCTCCATAGGCTGGTTGTAACTTGGACCCCATAATTCAGGGTTTGGTTTTATGCTTAAAAATACAATTTGGTCATAGTTTGGTGCCATGGATGATTGGTTAATATAAGTCAGGGTCTAAAGCCCCATCTGAAGAAAGACTAAAACATAATTGAACAATAGAATTAAATCATCGTGTATTTTTTCCTTGTAGGTTAAACTCTTAAAAAAATTTTTTTTATTGTTGTTCAATTACAGTTGTCCCCATTTTCCCCCCATAGGTTACATTCTTGAGAAGCCCCATAGTTGGTAGAAGTTTGTCTGGAAAGCCTAGAGATAGAGCAGGGGAAATTAGTAGGTTCATTTTAGTGCTTCATGCCATCAGACAAAGGATACACATGCTTGTGGAGCACACTTCCTGGGATATTGTTGAGATCTGGTAGGGGCCTGCATCCTCCTTTCCCTTTTCTGAGCCTTTGTTGCTGACTTCCCTACTGAGGGACATGGTTTTTATAGTAATACATATGTTTGGATAAAAGCTAGGTGTTGACCCAGAACTGTGTAATAGGACTAATACCACACATGTGGTTTGTTGTAATGACTTTAGATTCAGTGGTAAATTTTTGCAATTTTTTTAGGGTATAAAATAGATGTACTGCTGTGATGTACATTAAGGAAGAATGGTTAATAGGCATTAACCTAAATAGTTAACAATTCAGACCAATTCAGGATATGACTGGGGGCTGAGATTATATTTAAGTGTAAGTAGTTGTACTTTTCTTTTATCATACTAAGAAATTAAAACTAATGTCTGGATGGGTGGTTGCTAGGATAGATGGGAGGAGTGAAGATTAGTTAGAGGGTCTGGAAGGTTACTTAGTGTAGTCTGGAAACAAGATAATGATACTTTGAGAGTGGAAGGAAGACAGTCAAATAATGTTTTAAAGATAGAGTATATAGAATTGGCAATCAATTGGACCTTGAAGGTGATGAAGAAGGCAGGGTCTGGGATGAACATGAGGTGGTGAACCTAGAGAATGGTGCTATCATTAACAGATTGGGACCTTAGCAACAGTCAGTTTGGTTGAAAAGATGATGTTGTTTGCTTTGGGATTTTTTCGATATAGGCATACTTTAGAGATACTGCAGGTTTGGTTCCAGATCACCACAATAAAGAAAGTCATAATATTTTTGCCGGTAGAGGGCCTTGCCTTAAATTTGTAAAAAATACAACATCTTTGAAGCACAAATAAAGTGAAGTGTAATAAAACGTTATGTCTGTATGTGGTTCTGGGTGACAGAGAAGCTCATGATATAATTGGAAATGTGAATTTTCCAATTATGAAAGCATATTAGTTTCCTAGGGCTGTTTTAGCAAAGTAGCACAACTAGGTGGCTTTTAAAAAGAAATTCTCTCATGGATCTGGAGGATAGAAATCTGAAAGGTATTAGAAGGGTTGGCTTCTTCTTGGAGGCTCAGAGTAAGAATCTGTTTGATGCTTCTCACCTAGCCTCTGGTGGTTGCCAGCAATCTCTGGCATCCCTTGGTTTATAGACTTACTCCAATCTCTACCACTGTCAGTACATGGCCATCTTCCCTCTGTGTGTCTCTGTGACATAGTGGATTAAGTCATGTTAGATTTAGAGTCCTCCCTGCTCCAGTATGACCTCATCACAACTAATTTCACCTGCAATAACCTTCCAAATAAGGTCACATTCTGAGGTTCTGGGAAGGACATAGATTTTGAGGGGTCATTATTTAACCCAGTACAGAAGACTAGAGTTAGCAATCTGAGATTCTTTTGCACACTATGGACCTAGAATACTAAAGGGAATATGAGCTCACTGGAAGGAGAAAATCATAAAAGGAGTATGGGTTGACATTCTTAATGGATAGATGAAACAAAACAGATTGAATATAGAGGTAGATAGATATAAATAAGGACGCCATGAGACATGTGGGCTGAAGTGGAGTCATGAAGGTGGAACTCCAACTGGACCTTGAAAGGGTAGAAACACTTTTTTAGATAGGCAGAGCTAGGTAGAAACCCCTAGAAGCAGGGAGATTAATAGCTTGAGCAGTGGTTTTGACCTATTTGGAAACTAATTGGGTTGGAGCAGAAGTTTTGGTTAGAGTGAGGGTCAGCTGGGTATGTAGAACATCTTGACTACTAAAAAACAAAACAAGTCACTTGTACTACGCAGAATTTTACCTTTACAAATAGAGAAGGAAGGGTATAGTGAACCTCTGAATGCCCAACCTTCAGTTTCAGTAGCCAATCTTTTTTTCCTACAAATTCCCCTCCTCTCCATTCCTGAAGCATATCTCAGACAATTTAGATTGTGCCTTTTTTGACTAGCTTATATAACTGAATGGAAACATTGAGGGTTTCTGAGTAGGTAAGGGACATGATCAAAAGAAATGGAAAGACATTAAGTTTTGTTAGGAAAGAAGTAAAAAGTAGAAGAGGGAAAGAGTTTAATTCATTATTAATCTCATTTTTTTGTTATTTCATTAAAGGTGTGCAGGATTTTTGTTTCAGAAAGTTGGAAAACTTGCAGCAACTGCAGTAGGTGGTGGCTTTCTTCTCCTTCAGGTATGTCAGAACTTTATTTACTTGCCTCTGCTTAGGAACTGAGAAAGTCAAGTTTAGCCATTTCACTCCTATCCATTTTAATAGAAGATGGAATTTTTCTTTTAGGCATCAGTTTATGGAAAAACTCAAATGAGTATGGAAAGCTGGCATCTGTCACGAAAGACAATAATTCCCATAGTTCTAAGTTTTTTATACACAGTATGATCCCAATTTTTAACAAGACAATTATTAAAATTCATGGTACCTCATTTCTTTTATTACTTACCCAGTTTCCCTTAAAGCATTTCCATAGCAAAATAAACATTTTATCAATAATATAAATCTACTCATCCTTACCACTTTAAATATAAGAGGTCTGTCTCGAAAAAGTCCAGCCATTGTTAATATAACGAGAATGGTTTTTGCAACATCGATATAACCTGGCAGTCAAGGAGAGTGGGCTGGATGGAATGTGCACGTGTGAACAATGAACAATGACGACTTCACTGTGCTAGTCACTGGGGGCGGTAGATGCCATTGAGTGAGCATGTGTACTGTGTGGCTATTGCCTTCAAAATAACTGAGTGAGTAGAGCAATGAATCTGCATTGAATTTTGTGTTAAGCTTGAACATTCCTCCGGTGGAAACTATCTGGATGAATCAGAAGGCTGCAGCTATGCATAACTGGTGATTGGCAGCCTCATCATGACAATGAGCCTCTAAGATGTACCACGTCTCATGCAGAGTTTTTTGAGAAACATCAAATCACCCAGGTGACTCAGCCCTATACAGCCCAGAGTTGGTGCTCTGTGACTTCTGGCTTTTCCCAAAACTAAAATCACCTTTGAAAGGGAAAAGATTTCAGACCCTTGATGAGATTCAGAAAGATATGACGGGGCAGCTGCTGGCGATTGGGAGAACTGTGTAAGCTCCTAAGGTGCATACTTTGAAGGGGACTGAGGTGTCATTGTCCTATGTTCAGTGTTTCTTGTATCTTTAATAAATGTCTACTTTTCGTAGTGTGTAGATGGATACTTTCTGGACAGACCTCGTATATTTAAAATTCACACACCGTACATAATTTTTAAAGGGTCTCCTTCCCATTTCTTAGCCATTAGTTTTCTGTTACAGAGGAAATTACTGTTAGCAATATCTAATTTTTTTTTAAACTAGGGAACTATAATAATGTAAAGAGTGGAAAATTGGGTTTAAGAAATCCATAATCTTATTTCTGAGGTAGGTAGATTTGAAATTTTAGTTTTGTTCATGTTCCTCTAAGATTCAAAAATGCTTTGCCATTAGTGGATGTTTATGAGGATGTTATCTGGAGTTCATGTCTGTTTGGCATATAGTTTTTCAAAAATATTATTCCCTGAAAATCAAATATAGTAAATCCTAAAAGTGAAAATCTCTGGGAATGAATGTTAGCAGCAATTTTAAAGATACAGAGAATTGTCAGTCATACTAGATTTTAAAAATGATTGATGGTCACAGCAGCCAAAATCTTACTTCAACACCTAAGCCATTGATCATGTAATAACCAGTGTTGTTGCCTGAAGTGCAAAGGGATTGGATTTGTATGTATTAAGTACAGATTTTGAATTGTTTACTAAATAGCTTTTAAAAAATAATTTTTCTTTCTGTTGGTGACATTATTAGGAATAATTGCTTTCTACTTGTGGTAAGAGGTAAAAAAATGTGAATATCTAAATTTCCTTTCAGTGAATATGCCGGCCTTGTACAGAAGATACTTTTATTTAAGCTGATTTTGATTTTGGTTTATGTAAATTAAGAATTAAGATATCTAATTCTATAGCTCTGAGTTTCAAAACTCAGTTGTCATTTCTGTCTAGTGGAAAGTCATTTTTGTTTACTGGCCTGAGCAGAGCTTCCTGAAATGTTGACAGAATAGAGGGAATTACACATTGCAATTCACTCTGCATATCAGTTTTTCAGAAGTCCATTTCAGTCCACTTGGTATATACCACTCAAGTCCACATTGCCACCTTCCACTTCTCCAGGCCTAGTCCACATGTTCTTTGAAGTCACTAAGAAGAACAACATGGGACTTACCTACATCAAAGCAATTTTTCTCACAAATAGAACTTACATTGAAAACCTAGTAGAAATATAAGGAGGAAGTAAGAGTAACAAATGGCTTTTAGACTAATTGCCTCTTATTCTTTAGGCCCACTTCCATATTTTTGTTACCTTTACTTATATCTAAATATAAATGTTACTTTACTTAGCACTTAAAGCTTTTCTAGTAACTCAAAAGTGTTTTTTGGTAGGTATTATCACATTGCCATGTTAAAATAGATAGTGGTATACAAATCAATTCAATTTATTTGTTTAGAGTTGTACATGCCCATAATTCAAAAGGTCAAATACACGTACAACACTTGTTACAGATTAGAGTAGTACTCTGCCTTCCTCACTACCCTTCCATTTTTCCCTCCCCCTGAGGCAACTGCTTTGAACTTAGCTGACTCTTAAAGTATTTATCCTTTTTTCTCTAAACAAGTTTATTGGACATTTTTCCCTTTTTTTTTTATTGATGTTCAAGTATAGTTGTCTCCATTTTCCCCCCACTACTCCCACCAACCCCAGCTATCCCCACCTCCCACCCTCCATCCTACTCCACTTTGGCTTCCATGTGTCCTTTATGACATTTGTTTTTGATCTTTCAGTTTGAGATATTACCTATTGGCTCCCTATTATGGAATATGACAATTTAGTTATCATTTATTGAACTTCTCTATGTGCTCTGCCTTGCAGTCTCTACACTTGCATGCTTCCCACACTCCACACCTCATCTAAGTATTGTTTCATTATTGTATCAGATCATCACCTGGAGTTCACTGAGCTTCTTGAATCTGTAAATGTATGTCTTTAACCATGTTTGGGAAGGTTTTGGTCATTATTTTTAAAAATTATTTGTTCCCTCCTGTTTCTCTCCTTTTTAAAAAAGATATATTTTATTGATTATGCTATTACAGTTGTCCTATATTCCCTCCTTCACTCCCCTCCACCCTGCACACCCCCTCCCACCCACATTCTCTCCCTTTAGTTCATGTCCATGGGTCATACATACAAGTTCTTTGGCTTCTACATTTCCTATACTATTCTTACCCTCCCCCTGTCTATCTTCTACCTACCATTTATGCTACTTATTCGCTGTACCTTTTCCCCCTCTCTCCTCCCATTCCCCTGTTGCTAACCTTCCATGTGATCTCCATTTTTATGGTTCTGTTCCTGTTCTAGTTGTTTGCTTACTTTGTTTTTGTTTTAGGTGTGGTTGTTAATTATTGTGAGTCATTTGCTGTCATTTCACTGTTCATACTTTTTATCTTCTTTTTTCTTAGATAAATCCCTTTAGCATTTCTTATAATAAGGGTTTGGTGATGATGAACTCCTTTAACTTGGCCTTATCTGGGAAGCGCTTTACCTGCCCTTTCATTCTCAATGAAAGTTTTACTGGATAGAGCAATCTTGGATGTAGGTCCTTGCCTTTCATTATGTTGAATACTTCTTTCCAGGCCTTCCTTGCCTATAAGGTCTCTTTTGAGAAATCAGCTGACAGTCTGATGGGAACTCCTTTGTAGGTTACTGTCCCCTTATCTCTTGCTGCTTCTAGGATTCTCTCCTTCATTTTTACTTTGGCTAATGTAATTATGATGTGCTTTGGTGTGTTCCTCCTTGGGTCCAACTTCTTTGGGACTCTCTGAGCTTCCTGGATTACCTGGAAGTCTATTTCCTTTGCCAGAATGGGGAAATTCTCCTTTATTATTTGTTCAAATAACTTTTCCACTTGTTCTTCCTCTTCCCCTTCTGGTACCCTTATAATTCAGATGTTGGAACATTTAAAGATGTCCTGGAGGTTCCTAAGCCTCTCATTCTTCTGAATTCTTGTTTCTTCATTCTTTTCTGGTTCGATGTTTCTTTCTTTGTTCTGGTCCACTTCAGTGATTTGAACCCCAGTTTCCTTCCCATCACTATTGGTTCCCTGTACATTTTCCTTTATTTCACTTAGCATAGCCTTCATTTTTTTCATCTAATTTGCAACCAAATTCAACCAATTTGTAAGCATCCTCATTATCAGTGTTTTGAACTGTGCATCTGATAGGTTGGCTATCTCTTCATCGCATAGTTGTATTTTTTCTGGAGCTTTGTTCTGTTGTTTCATTTGGGCCATTTTTTTTTTTTTGTCTTGACACACCTGTTACATAGTGAGGCGTGGAGCCTTAGGTATTCATCTGGGTGGGGCAACCCATATCGCTGCCTGTGGTGCTATATTGTGGGGAAGGGGTCCGAGAAGGAACAATGGCACTTGTTCCGTTCTCTGCTGGATTTCAGTTACTCCCCTTGCTTCCCACAAGCAAATTGGGCCCTTCTGGTGCTGATTCCTGGGTGGGTGCATTTGTGTATGTTCTAGGACCCTGTGGGTCTGTCCAATGAAGTCTCCTGTGAGGCTGGGAGTTTTTCTCACTACCTGAACCCCCACAGGTATTTTCAGCCAGTGAGTTGAGGCTTTATCTCCTTGCACTGGAGCCCTGTGTTGCATAGTCCCTCCAGCTCCCCAGTTGTTCCTCCCAGTTTATCTATGTGGGAATGTGGGACCACCCAGTCTGCAATCTGCTGCCTCGCTAGCCACCTGCAGCCTTGCACACCCCACTCCACAATCCGCTGCTTCACTTGGGTCCGCCAGCCAGTGCCTTGCTCGCCCTGGTCCTCCAGCTACCACCTTGCGGCGAGTCCCCTCTGCCCTGCTGCCCTTCTCTGCCCCTCGTACTGGTCTGTATGAATGTGTTTTCTTTAACTCCTTGGTTGTCGGACTTCCATACAGTTCGATTTTCTTTCACTTATGGTTGTTTTTTTGTTTTTGTTTTTAAATTGTTGTTGTCCTTGTTCTGGTAGTGTGAGGAGGCACAGTGTGTGTACCTACACTTCCATCTTGGCTGGAAGTCCTGTTTCCTTCTGAATATGACTGTGATTATGTGCATGTTGGGCTTTTTGGTAACTTTCTGAGGCTTTGTTCATTTATTTTTTTACCCAGTTTTTAGATTATGTAATTTATAGTGATGTAGCTTCAAGTTCACTGACTCTTTCCTGTAATCTACCTTTGCCATTAAGCCTATCCAGTAAATTTATTTCTTTATCCTGGGCATTAGGAATGTTATATTGTGGAGACTCTGGATTCTATTTTATGCTTCTGAAGTATGTTGATATGATTTTAGCAGGCAGTTAACTTGGTTAAACTCAAATTGCTACCTGTGGTGGGTAGCAGCTCAAATCCCAGTTTATTTCTTTTAGCCTTAAGCCAGGGGTGTCAAGCTCATTTTCACCAGGGGCCACATCAGCCTTGGGGTTGCCTTCAAAGGGCCAAATGTACTTTCAACTCCTTAACTGTTATGGAGTAGTTATATTTATACAGTCCTAAATTATTTTGGCCCTTTGAAGGCAACTGTGAGGCTGATGCGTGGCCCCTGGTGAAAATGAGTTTGACACCCCTACAAGCAGAATGGTTACTTCTGCCTTTTGAATGTGTGGTTCAGGAGTTGAATTTAGGACTCCCCTTCTCTAGATCTCTCCTTTCTGGCAGCTGTTATTGTCCTGGGCTCTGTCCTCTGGTTGTTCAGGCTGGAAAGATGGCATATTTTCTTTTGAAGTGATAACCACCCTGCAACTGTCAGGATAAAGCCAGAAAAATGGGCAACTCACCCTATGTTAGTTACCCTTTCTACAAGTTTTAATTCCCCTTCAAAATCTGCTTGCTTTTGTTAATTCTAGAGCCCTTGTATTTTAATCAGGGTTTAGAGTTTCTCCTTATGGGAGAGTCCCAAAGGTTCATCATCACTTCCATCCAGATTGCCATGTCAACTACTGCCAGGAAAAGCTTTCACTTGCCATTTGATTTAATGAGCACTGTTTTGCTAAAGCTGGAGTTTGAAGTGAGTGATAGAAAGTGAATAAATACAGGAAGAAATACAGATAATTCTTCTGTGTTGTCATTCAGAGTGCAAATTGAACCTAAGATTACCAGTTTATATAAAATCAGATATTTTCATTATTGAAGTATTTTATGTGTGGTTCATAGTCAAAGTGATACATTGAATATTACAAAGAAAGGTGCTTACTGTGTGATTCTATATATTTTGATTTTCTTATTTGGAGGGACTAACTTAGAGTACTGGCTTACACACTATTAGACTTGTTGAGATTTTCCAGTGTCTCAGTAGCACCATATGAGAGGGTTTTTGTGTGTGTGGTTAGTAGGCATTTAGCTATAGTTTTATTAAAAGGATTTATGGCATAAAGCTTGTGTAGAGCATATTTTTTTTATATTCCATTTTCAAAAGCATTTACCAGAAAGCATTCTTAATTTAAGTAGAGTCAGATTTAGTGAAGAGCATTTATCAGGCTACTTTAGATTTCTTTAGTGACCTAACAACTGATTGGTTTTATCCCTTATAATTAAACATCTATTTAATTAAAAGTTGCTTTTTTATTAGCTGTATAACTTTAATAGTCTTTATTAGCTAATACTCAAATTCCAAAAGTTATGATAGATTTATAGTATAGTTACAATATAGTTTTTGGAATCCTTTCCTATCATATACTGTACTTTTCTTAACATAGTATTCATCACATTTAAGTAATTGTGTGTATTTAATATCTGCTTTCTGCCACAGACCTGAAGCTCTCTGAGGGTGGAGGCTTATGTCTCTCTTGTTCTTGGCTGTAGCTTGGGTGCTTAGAGAAGTGCTTGGCACAGAGTAGGCACTCAGTATCTGTTAAATGAATAAATTAATGAATAAATTATGGTTTCATACCTCTAAGCTTCATACATTTCTTGAAATCTGAATGTTCATATATTCCTGGATAATAGATACATTACCAACCTGGTTGTTTTAGAATTAACCATTTTTATTACACTTTTGTAGATTGCTAGTCACAGTGGCTATGTGCAGATTGACTGGAAGAAAGTTGAAAAAGGTGTAAACAAAGCAAAAAGACAGATTAAGAAACGAGCAAATAAGGCAGCACCTGAAATCAACAACATAATTGAAGAGGTAAAACAATGTACATTTTTGCTTCCCTTTTAATTTTTTTAATGGGTCTCTATTGGTAGAAAATGTAACTAGGGATTATATTCTTTTTAAAAAAGTTGGTGTTTTTTGTTATGTCTAGAGTATTAAGTAAAATTTGGGATCAAGCTACCATTTAACTCAATTGTTATTTTTTTTAGTAGTTAACATAGTTTCCTCTGCCCATCTTCCATCTATTTTAATCTCCATGTAAAAGTTGATAACATTCTTCCAGAATTTTTCTCTGCTTTTACATGTGTGTACGTGTGTAGACCAGATGTGCAAAAACTAAAATTGCCTAATTTTTTCTTGAGGTGAAATAGTTTGAAAATGTATATTTTATTAATAAATTGTTTTACTAATGTTTTTATGGATATTTTGTTTATTTTCTTGTACTTGTTTATTTTCTTGTACTTGGTTTAGAATTCAATGCTTCTTTTTCCTTGTTTTTGTTCTATCCTTTTACTTTCCCTAACTTTTTATTTTGAAAAATTTCAAACCAGTTGAAAAATTAAAAGACAAATACAGTGAATACCCAGAAACCCTTCATCTATTCACCAAATTGTTTTGCAACATATACTTTATCTGTGTGTGTGTGTGTGTGAGAGAGAGAGATTTATACTTTTTATCTTTGCCTAATTATTTAAGACATCATGACTTTTCACTCTTAAAGACTTTAGCACATTATCTCCTACGGGTGTGTATATTCTATACAACTGCAGTTACCCTTATTATTCTCTCCAAATTTAACAATACAGTAGTATTTCCTAATATGCAGTCCATATTAAAATTTTTCTGCAAAATATCTTTTATACTTTTTTTTCTTAAACATTATGTATTCCATTTGGTTGTCATGTGTATGAAGTCTCAAGTTTGAACAGTCCCTTCTTCTGGGGATTTTTTTTTCTGTTTTTCATGACACTGACATTTTTGAAGCATCTAGGCAGAATATTCCACAGTTTGGCTTTGTCTAATTGCTTCATGATTTTGTTTGGGTTAAATGTATATTTTATCAAGGTAGTATTTTTTTTTCAGTCTGTACATTTTTTTCTTACTCGCTAAGTGGATTGTTAATAAACATCATTGTGCATGCTGTGGGAGTTTAATAATCTGTGTTAATAACTTGATGAATGGACCATTCATGCCTGCTCTGTAGGTAGATTTCTTTTTACCTGTGAGATTATTGCTTGGCTATAGCTTGGAGGCCTAGAACAGGGCTTGGCACAGAGCAGGCACTCAGTGTCTGTTAAATTTACTTATAATCTCAGTAGCCAAGAAGCTTACTAGTCCTGGCTGGTGGCTGTAGGCTCCTTCAGTTTGTAATGAACAGTCCTGGTGGCATCTTGTGTGGTGGTTAGGACCTGCACAAGAATTTTTGCTTAGTATAATTGAATTGAGGAAAACATCTCAAAATATTACTTAGCTCTGGATTCAACAATTAAGATAATTTTTTAAAATTTGCATCTTTAAATGTTTTTCTTATTGTGGTAAAATATACGTAACATAAAGTGGATCATTTTAACTGTTTTTAAATGCACAATTCTCTGGCATTAAGTACATTCACAGTTTTGTGCCATCATATCCATTTCAAGAACTTTTTCATCATCCCAAACAGAAACTCTAACCATTAAGCAGTACCTCCCACAATTAACCTCTTTCCTAGCCCTTGATAACGTCTGTTCTAGTTTGTCTCAGTGAATTTGACTAGTCAGGTAAGTGGAATCATACATTTGTCCTAGTTTGTCTTTGTTTCACTTAGTGTAATGTTTTTGAGGTTTACCCATTTTGTACCATGATTAAGAGTATGTTTGTTTAAACTTTATGTTTTAGGCAACAGAATTTGTCAAACAGAACATTGTGATATCCAGCGGATTTGTGGGAGGCTTTTTGCTAGGCCTTGCATCTTAAGGATATGAGTGTTCTACCACAGCAGAGTCACCTGTGAGAAAAGCAGTGGTGGTGACAAGGCGGTCTCTCAACATTACATGCCACCAGGCTGTCCAAGGCAACAAGAAACAACTAGCTAAACAATATGAAATTCACAACTTAGCATATTGTCATCTGAAGGTTGGCAAATTAGTATCTGCTATAAAACAACCTACATGGTATAATATGTACAGTAGTATTCCTGAGCAGAACATGGCTTCCATTTATTTAAATCAGATGTTCTTCATTGTGCTTTATAATATAGAGCCAATAAATAAAACTTTGTATTATAGCTGCAACATTAGGGCTGACTTATTTTTTAAAGATATGTTGGCAATAAACTGAAGAACGGTAATGCTCTTTTGTAGAAGGATTTAAAAATAGTACAATTATTAAAGATGTTAAACAGATTTAATACCAATTTTTAGGTTGTTTTTTCCCCTGCATTTCTTACTTTGCTTATACAATAACTGTAGTAAACAATTTCAGGGTAGGGTGTTCCAAGGAAATATTACATGTTTAAAGCTTTTTTTCTTTCTTTGATATCTGTAGTTGTAAAAATATATCTTGTTTGTGAGCTTACTATTTTTTATTTATTTATCCTGGCAGCCTGGCAGAAATAATTATTTTGAGGGTATATATATTTGGTTCACGGCTTTATTTTATTAACTGAGTGAATCTCCTTTTTCAGTTCTAAAAGTTCTAATTATTATTTTGGCCTCTTCACAAAGTGGTAAAAATTACCTTAAAATCTTAGTACAGTATGAATTTACTGTGAAGAACCATGATTTTCTATATAATTAGAAATTATAACTTAAAGAGGATTGTCTCCTTGATCTAGGCTGAGATATAAGTATTAAGGCTTTCAAACTTTCGGTAGCATCGTTTTGGTTGAACACTAGACCATTTGACTTGATTCTCAGGGCTGACATCACACTCCCTCTGAGGCTCTTTTGCCCAGAAGAGCTTTCTGTATTGTTTTGTCCATAGAGTTCTAGATTGGAATTGGGGAAAACATCAAAACAACACATGTTAGAGTCTTTGGATCGGAAAGACTGCAGATATTTAGACTATTTCCTTTTGGTAGCAAGTCCTCCACAGTATATTTTGTGTATTGTAAAAATAATGCATTCGATACTTTTGAGATTGAGTACAATCTGTGTGCTTTCATTATCACAAGATTCTTTGAAATTGAATGTGAGATTGATCTTCATGTTCTTTCTTTACTCTCATTAGTGCCTCAGATACAATGCTAAATAAAACTCAGACTTTCTTAATGTGAAGTGATGTTGCTTATAAATACTTGTTTTCTTCTCTGAACTTTCCTCTGTTTATGCTTTGTCAGGTTTTTCATTGCTATGGAATTAAAAGGGTACAATATAGGTAAAGCAAATTAGGTTTACAGTTGCGAGTATGCAAAACACAGAGGTTTTTATTATTATTATTTATTAGGTATTGTGTTATTTTCCATATGAACAATTGTAAACCTACTTTTGCCCCACGTTGTATTCGACATTAGGCAGAACCTTGGCCATGCTTCTCTGCACCCCATCTCTGTCATGTTTTCATCTGATAACAGTGAGGCAGACTACTGTGGGGGAGTTCTAATGGCTGGCTCAATGTGTTCATTTGGAAATACTTAAAGTGTCTGTTTCGTGTATGATACAGTAGGAAAGGAGGGGGCACAAAAATGTTTGCTCTAAAATAGAGACTAAAATGTTTCGATATGAAAAGTTGTATAATAATATAGGAAAGCCTGACATATGTTTTAGTAGCAAATGAGTAGTAGCTAAAACTACTTTCAGAGTCCAAACATGAATGAAAACTGAAAAAGATGGTACTTTTTACACACATCTCCAAGTATGTGTTGATTTGTTTGAAAATATTTTTATGAAATGCAAAAATGTCAGTGCTGTCCATACTCTTTTGTCCCTGTTAGTGCCTGTTGTTCTGCCTCATGTCTGCACCATTTCCCTACTTGAGGCAGATGGATGTGTTTATCAATCTCTAAGTTGTGACGCATGCTGTGTAATGCTTTGCTCACAGTAGGTATTCAGCTAATGTAAATGAGTGAAGGAGCATGCGGAAAGCATATTACTGTGTTAGATAGAGTTGGTGTCAACCAATAGGAAACCTCTGTGTAGCAGTCCAGTGACTCAGAGGCTCCATCAGAAAGGACTTGATGCGGCTTGGTTAGAATGAAAAACCTATAACCTGCCTTTGTCTAAAATGGAGATTTGTATGTTTGAGAACATAAAGGCTGTTTGCAAGATTTATTAGAACTTGAGTATATGGTATAAATGTACCACAGTTTTTTGATCCACTCATTTACTGATGGGCACTTAGATTGCTTTCAGCATTTGGCTACTATAAATTGTGCTGCTATGAACATTGGGGTGCATAGGTTCTTTTGGATTGATGTTTCAGGGTTCTTAGGATATAATCCCAGCAGTGGAATTGCCAGGTCAAAAGGCAGTTCCATTTTTAGTTTTCTGAGGGAATTCCATACTGTTTTCCACAGTGGCTGCACCAGTCTGCATGTCCACCAACAGTGTACTAGGGTTTCCTTTTTTCCAAAACCTCTCCAACACTTAATACTATGCAGCAGAAAGAAGGAGCTCCTACCCTTTGGGACAGCATGGATGGAACTGGAGAGCATTGTGCTAAGTGAAATAAACCAGGTGGTTATTTAAAAGAGAAATACCATATGATCTCACCTATAAGTGGAACCTAAAACAAAACAAGCAAGCAAAATACAACCAGAGTCATTGAAATAAAGAACAAACTGACCGTAACCAGACAGGAGAGGGGAGGGAATAATGGGGGAAATAGGGAAAGGGCCATCAAGGAACATGGATAAAGGGCACATGGACAAAGTCCAAGGGGATAGGTTCGAGGGTGGGAGGCGCAGATGGGGTGTGAGGGGCGTGGTGGGGTGAAAATGGAGATAACCGTACTTGAACAATAAAAAAAACACAAAGAATGGAATATAGGTATTTTGTGGTCTAGGCTTTGGCAGATATATAAGAACATTTTGACTGATTTTTATTTTTTATTCTTATATACCTTTCCAACCTCCCTCACAAGAAAAGATGATTTTTAATGTTTTTTATTTCAAATATAATGTGAAATATATTCATTATAGAAAAATATATCAGTGTAAAGAATATATAGAATGTTTACAATATGATGTACTTATAATTATTGCTCTTATCTTGGTACATAGCTTTTGGAGTCTTTTCTACCTGTGTGTGTATAATGTACTCTTATGTGCATTTTACGTAAAAATTAAGTCATAGTTTTATACTATTTTATAATTAGCTATTTTCAGTTATATTTTAGTAATATGTTTTCATAATAGGTACATTTTTGATGATGGTAAGCTATAACATAAATGCCCACCCTTGTCCCCTTTTATGAGACAACCATTATTAATAGTTCTTTTTATATGTATTTTAATATATTTATGCTTATATTACATTTATTGTGCAAGTTCAGATACTGTATATTGAATGTCTGTTCTGAAAGGTAAGGAATTTTGTGCACGTTCACTGTTTCCTCCCTTTTTTAATTGCTAATATATTTGTAGTTTTTCTAGTAGATTCCTTTATTACTTTAAATATTATACTTTTTCTATCCTTATATCAGCTAATTCCCTGTAACTAAAGATGAAGAAAATAAGTATACTTTTTCCCTCACATCTCTGGCTGTCTGATTTGTGTTAAATTACTATTACTTTTTTTTTAAAATATGTAATGCTTCATGAATTTGCATGTCATCCTTGCGCAGGGGCCATGCTAATCTTCTCTGTATCACTCCAGTCCCAGTATATGTGCTGCCAAAATGAGTACTACTATTACTTTTTTTTTAAAGATTTTATTTATTTACTTTTAGAGAAAGGGAAAGGGAGGGAGGACGAGAGGGAGAGCAATATCAGTGTGTGAGATACATCTTTTGGCTGCCTCTCACACACCCCCTACCGGGGACCTGACCTGCAACCCAGGCATGTGCCCTGACTGGGAATTCAACTGGTGACCTTTTTGTTCACAGGTCGGTACTCAATCCACTGAGCCACACTAGTCAGGGCAAGTACTCTTTACTTTAAATGACACATTCAAATGATAGAATTCTATACAATTATTAAGAGCAATGTAGAGCTATATAAATTGATCTAGAAAGATCCATGTTAGTGATAAAATCAGTTTATGAACAGTGTGATCCCACTTTTAAAAAACTGTACACATGAGTATAAGTATGCATACAGGTGTTCGTGGAGGCCATCTCTGAGAGGTTGGTATATAAGGATTTTCGTGTATTTTCAACATTTTTATATTGTCTAAAGTCTTTACAGTGAGTACATGTTAATCTATAGTTAGCAAAGGCTATTTTTTTAGAACCAGGGATAGGAATTTAAAATTAATAGGTTATTGCCATTTTAGGGGCCTTTTTCTTTTGAAGTTTTCTGCTTCATTCACTGAATTTATTTTTAAGTTGTTTTGTCAAAGTAATGCTCATAGTTCAAGAAGTCATATGGTGTTTGACTAAAATAAGGCCTCTAGTAAAAGAGCACTTCTCTACCTCTCTTCAGCTAAGTGGCTTTTCCCCCAGAGGAGTGTCAACTATGTTGCTTGTTTCTCTTTGTATTAACTACAACCATATTTCTTAGACTTTCTATTTTGATAAATGACCTGACCTGGATTTCCTATTGTATTGATAGATATGGATTTAGTTCTATAACACTTCCTTTTTACAACCTTGTAGGAACAATTTGTTAAGTTCCTATAAAGTTTTACACATTATTATAACAAATCTTGTTGATTGTTGAAGGGCACAACTTTCTGTAGGCCCCTTTATGTGGGTTCACCTAGAATCTAGCTTTAGCCTGATCCTGCAAATAGCTCTGGAGTATGAAGGGCACTCTGGCTGGCAGAATAATGGCTCCCCAAAGATGGTCATATCCTAATCCCCTGAACCTGTGAATATATGGCAAAGAAGAGTGAAAGTTGCAGATGGAATTAAAGTCGCCAATTAACCAATCTTAAATAGAGTAGCCTGGTGGGTTCAGAATTACAAGTCCTTCAAAAAGGAAGAGGGAGGCAGAAGAGAAAGAGAAAGGTGTGACTATGGGAGAACGATCAGACAGATGCTATGTTGTGGCTTTGAAGATGGACGAAGAGGTCATGAACATGAATCCTGGTTGCCCCTTGAAGTTGTAAAAGGCAAGAAAACTGATTTTCTCCTGTTGTCTCCTAAAAGGGACACAGCTTTGCCCATACCTTGATTTTAGCCCAGTGAGACCCATGTTGGACTTCTTACCTTCATGCCTGTGAGATACTAAATTCGTGTTGTTTTAAGCCAGTATGTTTGTGATGATTTGTTACAGCCTCAAAAGAAAAGTCATGTTGTCATCACTGAGTTATCCTCCATTGTGACAAGGGACTGGCTTTTTATATCCCTATTATCAGGTATTGACTTCAGCCCTCCCTTAGGGGGTGGAATAGGCAATCTCTCAGCTGGGAAGGCACCATCCTGCTGACATCAACTCTCAGGAGAATGGTGCACCTGTCAGCCATCAGCAGCTAACACTATAGCTTGGCAGTGGGTATTCTGGACCCCAGATGCATCTAGGTTTTAGAGGAGGAAAATAGGAAAAAAATTTTGAAGCAAAAAATGTGGTTAAAAAGTGCGTCTTATAGTCCAAAAATATGGTACTAACTTAGAATTAATTGATTCTGTTAGGTCTGCTTATCCCATAATATATAGCGTGTCTTTCCATTGTTTCAAGTCTACTTTTGGTCTTGTAGAAGAGTTTTGTCGTTTTCCTCTTACAAGTTTTGACTCTTTGTTGTTAAGTTTATGCCTAGCATTTTTATGTATGCTTTTAAAATATAATTTCTGTTATATCACTGGAATTTGGGTGTTGTGAGATGGTTATGTGTATGTTCAGTCTTTTCCATTGGACCAGAAGTCCTGATCTATATTTTCTTTGCTCCTTTTTAAAACAGATTTTTTGTTGTGGTAAGATGTACATAACATAATATTTATCATTTTACCTATTTGTAATTGTATGATTCACAAGCATTAAAAACATTCACAATATTGTGTACCTATCACCACTGTCTGTTCCCAGAATCTTTTTATCACCCCAATATAAATTGTAATAGCATAAACTATAAACTATAATTTAAAAAGCTAGTTATAAAGTAATAGTTAAAAGTAGAAGAAAAGAAAATGACTTAGCAATGTCAAGGCCTGTATGGAGTGACATGTATACCTTGGTTTA